TTCAGTATAATATACTGAGAAGTCTGCAGGGGGGGAATAGTGTCAGTCCTGAATTTTTTCCCAATGTACACCTCAGGTCACTGTAATTTGTTCCAGTCTGTTGTATGGCTGCCCCTATAGGTCTGACCAAGTGAGACAGGACTCTGATAGTGAAGTCAATCAAGAGAAATTGTTTTGTTGGGCAAGTGGTACAGGTTCATGAATTTGAGAACACTGAAACTTACAACAAGATTTCAAAGGTCCCTCTTTTAAATATCAATGATTTGTCAGTCTTCTCCTGAAGCCATATATTAAGCTTACATTCAACATTTGATTTAATGCTTGTATAAATACAAGAGTAACAGATTGCAGTGTCTTTCAGCTCACCAATTTATTCTATATTCAGCAATCTAGATGCTTACTTTCCAAAATGGAGGATATTACCATGTACACTCTCTGTAGTGATGCAGTTATAGCACATATATCCCAGAAAAACTTGTACAGGGTAACTACAGCTACTGGTGACAAAGTTGTGAACATCAATTTATTCTAAGGATCATCTCCCAAGTCACTTGCTGTTTTCACTACAGAAATTAAAGAAATTCTGTGAATGGTCAGGAAATGTAACATTCTGGGCTTAGATGAAAATATTTATTTACCAGTACTAATTCCTGCTCACCTTTAGACTTCTTAGAATTGGACAAATGGTCAGGCCTTTCTTCCTCTCCCTTTGAGTGTTCTAAAAAAAGTTTAGCCAAAGTTCATGAAAACCAGTATTCTATGTTCAGTACTTTAAGCGAAAGGATAATGCATAAATGAGTATGACAAAAATGGCTTTTTCTTCATAATACGTGCACTAAGCTGTTCTTTGGGAAGTTATTTGCAGTTAGAAGTGTACAAAGATTTCTAAAAGGCAACTACAAAAATCCCAATTTTCTTTTTTTTTTTTGTTTTACTTTGGGTTTCTAAATTACTCTTGATTCATAGCAGCAGCAACCAATCAACATCAGCAAATGACGCCTAGAGTGCTTAGTCATTTACCATGGAAGTAACTCTGTGTTATATTTACTTCTGTGACACATAGTAAGTTGCATTGCAGTTTCATTTGATTTAGCTACTTATTTATTTTTAAATCTGAATATAGCAGACTATACTTTTGCTATAGTGCAAAAGATATGTACGATATTAGTGTTACTACTATTGTCACTTATTAAGATAATCCTTCACCTTTCTATTTTTCTCACTGTAATGGGCAATTTAAGTCTGACTAAGCAAAAAGATGGTATCCGTAAAGTGGAGAAGATAATGTGTTTTTCTTGCCTTTTAACCCAAGAATTGTCAATTTCTTTCCGTCATAGCAGGGCTTGACACATAGGGTAGCTTGAACCTGCTTTGCATATTGTGAATTCTTACAACAGCAGCATTAATTGTGACAGGGGCTAATTATAATTTCCACTCCCTCTATTCAAGTGTTAATTTTGATGGGTTCCAGAACCAGTAGAGGAAGTTTAACTAAAACCAGATTCAGAAATTATCCTACGATTTTCGAAGATAAGGAAGGAGAAGATATAGATTGTGACAGACACTTCCAAAGTGTGTGTTTGTGAATGTGGTATATATATATTTACACTTTTATTCTTTTGTGTTCAATACATAACCGTTTGTGACTTTGTAACATTCTAGAGCAATACATGCAGTGGCTGCCAGCTGGTCCTTCAAGGTGTCCATTCAGACCAAGTGAAGCTAGGGACACTCTTTCTGGTGGCTTTATTTGATATTAACTTCTATTTTCGTGTACACAGGGTGAAAGTGAGTATTTTTGCAATATGGAAATAAGGTATGACAATTAACCTCCACTCAGAGTAACCAGTTCCTTTTGATCTTTCTCACATGATATGCAAACCTTTCTGAAATCAGGTGAAATCCTATCGGGTAAAGATGCACACATCTACTGGGGTAGACTGTAATTAAGTAGACCCCAGTGTGGAGACTTGAACATACAATCTACATTTGTTATTACTATCCCTACTAAATATTTATATTGCAGTAACATGTAAGAGCCTCACTCAGAAACCTTGCCTGTTATGTGCCACTCGCCTTCCAAATAAGCCAGACTGTTCCACTTTGCAACATCACACAAAGGTGCAGTGGCATTCATCAGCTGAACTAGAAGTGAACAAGTCTGTTTAGTACCACTCTTGTGCCCTTATCACAATGCTGCCTGACATATTTATAAATTATGTTTCTCAACACAGTGCAATCCAGGTGCCAGGTAAGAGGACCATAACTTTGCCGTCTAATGTAACAAACCACCCTGTCATGTACCTTTGGTTCCTCTGACTGAGAGATGATATTGTTCTTAATACAGGTACTCTGAATTTTCTCATAGTTGCCTTGTGCTCATGATCTGGCTATATCTATGTGTTCCATTTAGATTAAAACTCTCTGCAACTATACGTTTGTACAGCACCTAGCACGGGATGAGATCCTGATCCCTGATTAGGGGTCCTAGCCCAAGGTGCACTATGAATGAGCGTCTAAAAATAACACAGCAAGGACAATAATGACAATGTAGAAAAACAAACAAACAAATAAAAATAACCCCAAACAAATTAAAATAGTCCCAACTTTTAAGTAGTAATGATAAATAGTTAAAAAACCCCAACTTAATATAAAAGAGCCAGTACTCCTATTTATTACAGCTCTTATGCATGTGTTTAACATTATGCATATGAAAAGCCTCAAGATTTCAAGGGTACTACTCATTTACTTAAAAATTAACTTGAACTTAGTGTAATACAGCCTTAATGAGGACAACTTGGATAGTTTAATGTGCTCAATGAATTAAACACCTGACAGACTAATTATATTGTCTTGAAATGTTGATCCCAACTGTAATCATACCAAACTTGTCAAGCTGTTCACAACTGAGGCAACTTGTAGGGTTGTCTGTGCAGAATATGTGCAGATATTCAACCAGAGATCAGCCTGCCTCAAAGTTAGCAAAATTCCACTAATCTTTTGTGCCCACTGACTCAAAGGGGAAGCTTTTACTGTCACAGGCTCAAAGATTAAGTGTTCTACTTTTGGAGCAAGGAGAGAGTTCCTGAGCATGAAGTCAAAGGAAATTAGTCAAATTGAGAGTGGGAAAAACTTCTAAAAGCAGTAGACTGTAACGAATTCCATCACCAGCCAAACTTGTGAGGAACCCATGAAAAGAGACAGTTCCTTTATTAGTTTTGTATCAATATATCAAGACAATGGACATTCTCTGTGGTATGTTTCTCTGAGCAGTGTGCTTATTTTAAGAGGGATCTTAGGAAGATGATTTGATGGCAGAATCTTCTGGAGCTTGTAAGTGTTGAAAGAAGTCACTTAAGGTGTTCCAAAGCTATTCCTTTTACATCTCACGTTTGCATGCCTAATTTATTCCTTCGGTCAGCACATTCTAACTGTGAATGAGGGAACCATTTGATTTGGGTTATTCTGGGAAAAATCCAAGCATTCACTTCAAACCTGAAAAACTAAACTTTTAACCAGAAATTCCATAAATTACTGCACATGGAAAGAGTATGAAATATATTTTGCTGCCTCAATCTAGACTGTTTCCTTCATGGGAATAACACTGGAGAGTCTTCAATCTTTTGTTCTCTTTTCTTGCTGATTTTTGTGTTGGTTTTACACTTAATAAGAATCATGGAAGGCAGACCTTCTGCTTTTAGCAAGCAATATCACAATACAGCTTTGGTTTCTACCTGACTTGTTCTTTAATTACAGAAAATTAACTAAAAGAACTTCCCCTCACTCTACTTGTGTTTGGGAAATGTTCAGACACTCTCTTAAAAGTGCAGAACTTTAGTGCCTTTAGGATATAACAATGCTTTATTTGGATTCAAGTGATTAAAGAGCTAATTTTCTTAGTGGGAGGTTAGTACATTTATGCAGAGAAACTGCATTACAGGAATATGGATACATTTGGGTTCCATGGGGGCCCAGGGAATTCCAAATTCCCCTCTCTCTGCTTGTAGCAGCAAAGACCATAAAAAAGAAGGAAAAAAACCCTCTCAGTGTTTTGTATCTTCTGAGTCTTCTATATAGCTGGAGACAGTTACATTCATTTTTCCCTAGGGGACTAACTTTTTCTGAAGTAGTCTGTTTGGTCTTTTTAATTGTAAAGTCATAGAGTTAATTTCCTCTGCACTGATTTTCAAATGATGCTGTAAATGTTAGGTTCAGATTCTGTTTCTGTCTAACTGATTTGGTTGCTTAGTACTTCTAAAGAAGTTTGATTTCATCCAAGCTAAAAATTTGAATAAAGCAAAGATCAGAACATAAACTCTGGGAAATGCTGCATAGTTTTTTATTGTGCCATAGAATTGTATCCAATAAAAAAAAGGGCCTTTGTAGTTCTAATATTTTCTGTTCTATGTACAGAGCAGAATTGCAGAAAGTATTTGGAAACATTATTTCTTATTTTTTTATGCTGTACCTATTTGATGAATTAACTGTGATGATGCTGTTCATTTTCCTGATAAAAATGGTGTCTGAATGCTTTTCCGCAGTATTATCTGGCATGAGAGTTTTAGATGATGAAGGGTATGGTCTCCAGTTGAAAGCTAGGCAGGGATTTCACCCAAGAGGAATGGATCTGAGAATTAATACATTTAGGCTTGCAGCAATGTCACCTTCAATGCTTATTTCTCATTGACTTGGGTTTGTCTGAAGGAAGACATCTGAAACATAACTTCTGGTTCATGTATTACCCCAATACTCAGTTCGAGTGAGTGAGTTGTTTGCTGAGTGAAAGGTGTGAACACCTTTAAGCACATGTGGTTTATACATTTGTCTAACCAAAATCAATACTGCTTATAGTTTGCAGATGGACACAATCACTGCCCAAGCTGAAGTGAAGCATCTCCTGTCAACTTCTGGAAGTCTCATGATGCTCCTCTGACAGTGGAGCCACAGTTGCATATCCTGCACACTCCTTCAGCTGGTGATTCCTGTGGGATATCCAGGGTGCTGGCAACTGCATTTTGGGGAGGAATTTATTCCACTGTGATGCAGATAGATGACTGCACAGGATGCCGAATAACGAACTGGAAGGAGATTCCCTCAACAATGGCTTCTTTTTACTTATCTACCCGCCACTGAAAAACAATTTCTTTTTCCTGACAATATTTCCATTCATTCATGTTTATTAGGTCCTTTTGCTTTCCTCAAAGCACTGGCATTGGAAGGTATGACAAGTAGGTTTTTCAATGCATTTCTCAAGTAATAAATAACTGGTCTTTAATTTTCCATCTAAGTGCTGGGCAGGCAAACCGTTGCTAATTACTGACTAGGGTTTAAAGAGCTAACCAATGGTGGGTACAATATCCAGGCAAATCAATTGTTTCAATCCCAGTCTGAACCCTACTCTGATTTTATAAGGATCGTTGTATGAAATAAACTCCATTAGCTGGAGAAGAGACTAGGAAGTACTGTAGATATTTTATATTGTTGTTTAAAAGCTGAGGAGATTAATGTTAGATCCTTTATGTGACACAGAACAGTAATCTGGGTTCAGACAGTTGGTTTATTGAAGGGAAACCCTTTTTTTGTCTGCATTCCAGGATTTGAAAGAAAAAATAGAAGCTGGGATTAGAGCCAGACTGAGGAGAAACGATGCAGTCTGTCAGCAAGCCCTCAGGTAACAATATCATAATTTATAAATTCTACCAACAATAGGATAGTAATTAAAGATGTAAGTTTCCCTTTTCCTGTCTCTATTTTCAGCAAAACAGATTTCAGAATGCTAAACTGCTTGTGTGTGTCCCAAAGCAAGGATAAAACCAAAAAAAAAAAAAAAAAGTCTACAAAAAAACCTGAAGAATCAAACCATACACAAGGGCTCCATTTTTGTTTCTGTTTTGACTTGCTCTTCTTATTACTTATGCTGTAATAGGCTGGTGGCATGTTTGACTTTCTGACTTATATCACTGCATGATCCAGAATTACTTTCTTAAAAAGTCAAGTTGGAGCATTTTGTGATTTGTTTTGATTTAAAATGAGAAGAAGCACACTGGCCCAGATCTTGTTTTGTTCCTTAGAGTTTGTGAATTTGCCCTGATGAGTACCATCCTTGCTATATCTAGTGTTTGGACCATTAATTCAAATAGCTTGGGTCGAATGAGCAAAGAATGGGGATGCATGTGGGGAACAGAAATAGTTGGATGGTAGAACAAGACCTGCTTCCCCAAATTACAGTAACCCTGATAATTTCATACTCTAACTGTGTAGGATCCTGTTGAATAATACAGTGAGTTTATTGTTGGCAAATGCTGACGTTTTAGTAGCAAACAAGTACCACATCATTTTTCCTGGCAGTAATTAGAGTCTTTTCAAGGCCTATCTAATTTCTACTTATTTCAATTGTAATGCCCTTGAGTTATGGACATTATTTTATGTAATGTTTCTATAGTACCCAGCAAAATGGGGCTCTATCTGTGATTGGGAATGAAGTGATAGACTAATAATAAAACCAATAATATTAGTAATAATAAATTAATGATATCAGTTCGTACTGTGATCTTGTCAGCACTCATGAGTTAAGCAGTGTTGGACTAGTCTGATAGTTAAATGGCAGGCTGTCAGGGAACACTTCTGTTTAACAGATGGTACTGAACAAGTGCCCAGGCATGGTACTAGGACATTGTGTTGTACAAGGTTCCACCAGACATAAAATTGAGGTCTTGACCACTTACAGCCACAAACATTAAATGCTGTATAAAATAAGTACACTAACCACAAGGCTTGACTGCAGTGCCAACTATAATCTGCAAAAGGATTTCTTCTGACTGTTGGTCGCTGAATCTGATCAATATTGGCCAGATCAATCTTTGAAACTCTCTCTCTGCTAAGTCTCCTTCTGTTGTGTCCCTGGATAAGGTTCCTTTTCACCTTGCACATTACATCATTTAACAATGTTGCCCTGTAGTGCCCCTAAACAGATCCTATGTGTCACTCTGAGTTTTTTTGATCGTGAATGTTGTTGTCTCTTTATGTACAGATCTGAGATAGCTAAACAGTACAATGTTCTTATGGCCTCCATGCCTAGGAATTGGCCTTCTAGCTTTTCTTGGGGAAATGCTGAATTGCAACTATTAAGGTATTTGAAATGGATTTGTGACTAAAAAAATGTGTGTCTTGCCAAGAGAGAAGTGACGTATTTGATTTTAACTTTCCTATTTTCAATATAACTGTTGATAGTAATTTCAATGGCTTCATTTGCTTTACTCCTCTTCTCTTTTACTGAACATCTCATGAAGAAAGAATCAATAAGGATAAAAAGTTAGACAGTCTTTACAAAGATATCTCCTTTTTTTTTAGAAAATTCTCCTTTTTTTTTCTCTTTCACACCAAAGGAAGAAAATCTGATTTTAAGGTCAGTTTGCTTTTCTTCTTTAGGCCTTAACAGGCAGTTCATGAAAGAATTCAGATCTACCCAAATTTATATCCTGATTATGTAGCCTGAACTGAACCTAAACAGATGAGTAAGGGCTGTTTGGATTTACTATGCTGTTTCTTTGGTGGCTCTTGGAGGCACACTTGATGACCTAAAGTGTGACTGATTAGTCCACCTGATGTGTGACTTCTCAGTCCTCAACTTAGGAACAAATGGGAGTATATATTGGTGCACACAGCCACTAGGATTGCCTCTGACCCAGATATCCTGCAAAGCTTCTGTGCAGTTTTCATTCACATAAAAAACAAGTAAGTATCAAAATACCTCTAGTATTTCCTTGTCCATGTGATTGTCTTCTGCTTCGATAGCTTGCAGGCAATATCCTTCAGGACTCATATATATGTCTTTTCCAGAGTTAAAGAAGAAAATACTAATGATTTTATTGAACAATCCGTGCAATCATTACTACATTAACAGTACAAAAAGATATCTGAAAACTGACATTCCCTTAGATCCACTTGTTTTGCTAATTTCACTTAGCCCAGCTGCTTAGCCTGTATGTAATACCAAATATTTGAATTTAGGAAAAATGAGGAATGAGTAGGAATGTGTGTTGGTTAATGAAACAAAATCCTAAACAAATAGTGTCACAGGTTGTAATTATTTAAAGCTCCAAAAGATTTCTGGGAAGGCAATGAAATAAAAAATAATAGGTGAATTCATGAGCGCTGCCATCACCATGAATACCACCATGACCTCATCGACCTCCTTTCCAAACAGTGCTACTTACTCATTTTGGGATTCAGTTCACAGTCGCTCTCCTGGCCTTTAATGGAAGTGAATGACTTTGGGGTATAAGCAGGGCATGATTATAATACCATAATGAACTACCTCCTGCATCTGTATCCCTTACCTTGTACTAGAGGGAATTAGAATGACCTCAGCTGTATGTCATAGGCTGTTAGCAGTGAGCCCAGGTACGTGCGGATGAGCTTAGTCTGAACATGGGAATATGTAGTGAAGTGGGGGCTAGATCTATAAAAGGACCTAGGTCATGCAACATACAATTTTTAGGTGCCTGGCAGCTTAGTGAAATTCACAGTCCCAAGTGTTGCAGGCAACATGTGAATAGCAAGGAGTGAGGAACATAGAGATGAATCCTTGAAAACCAGGATGCTTTAGGCATCTCATAAAGCACATACCAGACAAGAAGCTGATTTCTTCTCTCAGGGACCAGGGGTCTCCTGGGATTCCCAATCACAGTGGACCTGGGTACCTAGCTCTGGGTTAGGCTGTCCTTGTGAGGAGTCGTATAGAAAGAAATACACCTTCAACCCAAGCCCTTGCTTTCAGACTGCTTTCCAAAAAGTCAGGGAGCAGTTTTAAAATTTTTAACTTCTTTGATCTGCAGCAGGGACTGAAGTCTTTTTTTTCCTTTAGGTCTTTTTTTTTCCACATCCAAAAACATTGCCCAAATCACTTGGTTATCTGGCATGCTGGATGAAGTTTTCAATTGCTCTTAGTGAAGAAGTTAAATACTGTGTATATAATTAAAGACTCAGACTTTGGCAGCAGATGAGTGAGATGTTAAAGATCTTTGCAATGTTTAAAATTTGGATTGATTTGCCCCAAATCCCTCTGTGGACCTAACCCTGAGAAAGCACAACATTTGGAACCTGAATCTAGTAAGATTTAAATTTTGTAGTGGCTGTAACAGTGAAGTTCTCTGAGTTGTGCAGCATAGCAATGGAGTCCTAGATGACCACTGTATTTGGCATACTTATCTAATTAGCATAGTCTCACTCTTATTATAATACTGTAGGCTTCAGTAACTTTATAGCTGGATAAACTGAGGAATGGGTAAATTCTGACTTGCATAAAATCATGAAAATTGCAGAAATAGATGTATACATATACATCCCTTTTTATTTGTATCTCTCCATTTTTCATTTATAACTCACCTATGTACATGTCTACAGGAAGGAAAAATATCTCTGGGACAATAGTTATTGGGTGTCACATAAATTTGTAAGAGATTCTCCTCCGAAGGTCAGACCCTCATGAAAATAAAAATGGGGGTTAGCTAGCTCACAAAACCAGGACTGTTTGCAGGATGCCCAGTCCTGTCTAGTTTCTTGCTCTCAGGCACACACCCATTCCTGGAAATGTGTTCTCTCATGTTAGGAGCTCTGGTCTAACCATCCCAATATATAAGGTTACAAAAGGATTTGCTTAAGGCATTTTTATTTTTATCCAGGCAAGCAGTCAGCAGAAGAAGAGGGAGGCGGTAAAGGGGAAAAAAAATGATCTTGGCTTTAACGGGGATGAGAAATGTGAAAATGTGTAACTCTCAAATGTTTGTGCTTTGGGAGAATGTACTGCTTCAGCTTAAGGATGAATGAAAGAGAAAGAGACAAGTGATGTGTAGTTTCTTGTTTGGAATGAAGTAGGACAAGAAGAAAGGTTTGGGCAAGGGATTTGATAAATAAGCTCGAGAAATAGTCTAACAACAGTGGACTGGGCAGACTATGAAGAAAGACGGCACATTCCCATCTTCTCTAATAAGGGGGAAAAGCAGAGTAAAGATAAGATGAAACAAATGTATCTGTTGACGAAAGGTTTCTACCCAAAACATTAGACCAACAAAATTTGAGTCTGAGTCTCCCGAAGTCAGTGCAAAGGAGAATAAGACAAGGTCAATGCATTTTTTTCCAGCTTTCATTTCAGCTATCTGGTCAGGCAGTGTGATATGCTAAAACCTTTATTTTCAGTCAGTGTTAAGTGAATGTGCAGCTAGAGATGCACCAAAATGATGATATTAAAGTAAAAAAATATCCCTTGAGAGCATGCCTCTGTACCTCCTTATCCCTCCAGCACAGTTAGAACTTCTGGCCAACAAAGCCAATCTATAGCTATTATATCTCTTTGTCTCTTTTCATATCTCCTAATAGAAGCATTGTTGTAGCTGCTGGCTAGAAAATTAACCAAGTGAACTCTCTCTGCCTGTCTCTCTCTCTTCTCATCAGATTACTGGAAAAATTTAACAGTCTCTGCCTCTCTCTTTTTTTCTCTGCAGGCTAGTAGCACACTGGAGGGGTTTAGACAGGAACAGTTTAACTCCCATATATCTCATGTAGTCTTCACTATAGTTGGTGGACCCATCCTTATTCTCAGCCTCTAGGGGGAAAGATGGGTAGAGTGTATAGTTACTTCCGGATTCAAGAATTTGGTTCATTAAGAGAAAA